TATTTTTAAATTTAAAATTTACTACCAAACACAATTTAGAAACAATGAAAACATAGAATACAACTTGGTTTTCTGTTAAATCCCTTGTTTTCAATTTTTGTTATCACTAACCTAACACACTTCTCAAAACAAATAATAAAGACAGGCAAAAACAAACAAGGATGAACCTTAATACTAGTTCACATAACTCACCATTAAGCTTGATGAAATGATTTTGTACACACTTGTAATGAAACCGATGGGCTGCAGTTTTTAACCTTATTCGCCCTTTCTTTTTTGTGGATGAAGCAAACATAGGCCTCATTCAGGGTGTTGTCCAAGATCCCTCTTTCAGAAAACCCCTTAAAAACTCGTGCAAGGTCCTCTTTTATTACTTCCCGATTATTTTGAGATCATATTCCAATTGATGCCTTCAACAAAGGCCTTCGGCCCGACAACTGGCGCATAGAGGTTCGAGAAAAAATCCCCCTCGATCTTCTCGTCTCCCTTGAGCACCTCCCCTTATTATTTTCCAAAGAACCAATGAAATTTTTATTTTTGCGCCCATTCGCCAAGAACGGAGTGTTGCAACCTCCCTCCTTGGCCCATCTCACTTCAGCTTTTTGCCTCCAACTGGTGGTTTCTTTCCTTACTAACTCTCCTCAAATTCCAGTTTTAAAGAAAAATGTTCCTCTTTCTGGGTTTCATATACGTTACCTCCTCTTTAAGGTTGTCAAAAGCATTAATTCTAGCCAACACCTCCTTTTCGTCCTTAAAATCCCAGAGACCTCTTTGTTCCACAATTTAATAGTCCTTTTGAGGGCCATCAGCTTCCTCATGAACCAAACACCTTCCCAATTTTTAGGGCTTTCCACATTCCACCACGAAGAAAAAGAACATTGAAGGAGGGGTTGTCCAGCCACATGTTCTCAAATCTGAAAGGACATGACCGCAGTTTGGTTGCATGTGTAGTCTAAAGAGGAAGTTCCCCAGCATAGCCTTCGTGGTGTTGTTTCATTCGCTTAATAATACTTTTTAGTTAAAAACAAAAATGGTTTCATTTGTAAATGAGAGACTTGAACACGCCTCTCATCAATAGGTGAATTAGAACATACCAATAAAGATGGAAAATAAAGGGGAAAGAGGATACACTACCTATAACCATAGGAGCAAAGCCATCTTTCCCATAAAAAAAATCATCCATAAATTCCAAAAAAAAAAAAAAATGATCATATGCTTTTCTAAAGTCAACATTAACGATTGCACTCTCCTCCTTCATGACTCAATACTATCAAATGCCTTTCACTTTCAAAACCTAGTTACGGATTTGTTTCCCACTCACAAAAGCACCCTGGATGGGGAAATAATGTTGGGAGGACCTTTTACATTCATTTTGCCAAAGTTTTAGATATGATCATCTAAAGACTAGAGACCATGTTAATAGACCTACAATCCTTGACTTCCCTAGCATCCGACTTCTTTGAAATCAAGTAAATATAGGTTTAGACGTTTTGTTCATGGTTGCAACCCCCACATCTCTCTCATAGAATTCAATGAACACCTAAAGAAGTCATATTTTATCAAATCTCAATCCACAGACAAACTAACTGGCCAAGAGACTAACCTCATTGCAACTAAACATTGTGGCCTTAATAGACTAGAAACCAAGCTAATAGACCTAAGATCCTTGAGTTAACTAGCATTCGACTTCTTGGAAATAGAGAAATATAGGTTTTGACATTTTTTTTAATGATTGCATCCCCACACCTCTCTCAAAGAGTTCAATGAACACCTAAAGAAATCATATTTGATCAAATTGCAATTCTCTTGAAAGAAAGATATAGACAAAATTTCTGGACCAAAAGCCTTACCCCATAGCAACTACATTTGTGGCCTTAATAGACTAGAAACCAAGCTAATAGACCTATTGACTTTCCTAGCATCCAATTTCTTTGAAATCGAGCAAATATAGGTTTTGATGTTTTGTTCATGGTTGCATCCCACACACCTCTCCCATAGAGTTCAATGAACACCAAAAGAAATCAAACTTTATCAAACCCAATTCTCTTGAAAAAAAAAAAAAAAGCCACAGACAAACTAACTAGGCCAAGAACCTTTCCCCTCGCAACTAAACATTGTGGCCTCAATTCTTCCAGCTAGAATAGTAAGTTCAAGGAAATTCCATTCCACATTGCTAATTGGGGTCCCAGTCCAAACCAACTACAAATAAGTAAGGAATAGCATTAGACGCATGCAAGGTAGAGAAGAAGTTCCAAAAATCCTCTTCAACGACAATCTTTGATCACTACACTCCCATCCTCCAACATCAGAGAAAAATACAGTTCCAAGATCTTTTGGCACTGACCATTTTATCAAAGTAGGAGGTCCTCCAATCTCCTTCTTTGACTCATTTTACCCTAGACTTTTGCCTCCATTTTGTCTCTCTGCTAGTGAGAACCTCAAAATCCCCTTCGAGACAATTTCATTCCTCCCTCATTTCCTTGCTTCAAGGATCAAGAGATTCCCTTTACAATCTGATACATACCAGTTTCATCAAGAAGCACACTTGAATTCACTCTAAAGAACCAAAATCAATTAATTCCGATATAGAACAAAACTAAAATTCATGAATTGAGTTTAAACAAATGTTCTCTAATAAAATTAAAAAATTAACCTAATGTTTATCGCATTAACTTTACAAGAATCTATTCCCTTGAAGAGATTAGAACAGTGGGATACCAACCCAAGCTAGAGAAGTTACAGAAACATAAATGGAAGCTTAAAAAAAGTTACAATGCAACAAAATTTCAAAAAGAAGGTGGGTGTAATAGAACCCTAAATCTGATTGAGGGGATTAGAGCCCAGTTTTCAAAAACACAGTGAAACCTAACCCGACGATCTCAAACAGACTCATAAATTAACCTTGGAGACAAATTAGGAAGGCATGAAGTAGAAGCAGCATAAGATAGCAATTAAGAAGAAAGAGTAGCAGGAGAAACGATGGAATAGAGAGTACCAGGTAGTGAAGAGCTTGAGAAACTGAGCGAGCGCGAAGGAAAGGAAGGCAGAGAGGAGAGGAAGATTTGAGGGGAGAAGTGAAGGCCTGTACGAAGCGTCGGCTGCTACGATCACTTCGTCCATCAGAGGCCGGAGCTTAGAGAAGAAAGAAGAAGAATGAAAATGAAGAACGCAGCAGCAGATGGAGCGTGGTCAGTGGTCCCCGTTTTTAGGCCCAAAGAATTAATGTGAGAAGTAAATAAATAACAAATACATCTAATTTTGGTCCAATTGGTTGATCATATAATAGACATTATTCTCCGGTTCGATCAACTATGGTAGTTCTAGTGAATTTTACAAGATTGTTCGTATAATTTGTAGATTTCAAGTATTTGGAGCAAACGGGAGTGTTATTGCATGCATTCATGAGTTAATTGGATTGAAGAGTTCAAGTCGTAAGAAGAGCTGTGGCGGTCAAAAGACTCGAGGGGACATTGTTTAGACACTATTGATGATGTATCAACTCCCAAAATGCACCAAGCAACCCAAAAGGCCCAAGGCCACAACACGCACATGTCCATAACTTACTTCACGAAACTCAATTGAGCAAATACGTTATTTTTTTTTATTATTATTATTTTGCTTGAGCCATTCCGCAAGAATGTGGGTACTATCCCTTTGAATGTATAGGAATAAGTTTGAAGAAGTTTGGTAGTATGTAGGTCCTCAAATAACAGCATGTTTCTTGGGTATTAGTGCGTTTCTTCTCCAACTAAAAGCATAGATAGATAGTCCTTTACTTCTCGTTCAGTAGTCCTATGGTCACTGACTCTAATTTAGCTAGAATTATTGTGAATTCCCATATGAAATTGAGGTAAAAATGCAATTTTTGGAGCGTCTATTCTCACCATCTCAGACGAGTTCAGGGCAATCTCAGTCGTTGGATGGCCTCGTGCGAAGGTCCTAAGTGTAACCTTGGCCATTTGGAAAAAAGGGAAAAATTCAAAGGAAAAAATTTATTTTCACAATTATTATATTCTAATAAATTCTCTCTCATTGTTTTTGGACACTTTTTCTTACGATGGATTGAGATTCTCTTTATAATTAAAAATTAATTTTTTTTACATTTTTGCCATTTTCTTACTCCTTAATCTTTTTATTTATTTATTTATTTATTATTATTATTTTTTTTGTATTATGTAATAATTTATTACAATTAATCATCTGTATACATGGAAAGTACTCATTTCATGTCGGTGTGCATGAGAGTTGGTCTTGTTTTTTTAATGGTTCTATGTTTGATTTCCCGATACGGTATCCACAATAAGAGGTTACTTACTGATGACTTGTCTTGTCTGTACACGATTACAAGTATTTATTTTAAAATATCTTTTCAAAATTAAATTAAAGTTTTCCTGTAACAGTCTAGAAAGTTGAGTCGTTATAAAGTTTTTCATTATCACAAACAATATATTTTCTTCAAAATATCCGCTTCCAAAGGTGTGCTCAAAGAGAACAATATCTGCTAGCGGTGGATCTGAGACGTTACAAATGGTATAAGGTGTGCCAGCCTTCTTGTTGTTCCCCAAAGGGGGTAGACACGAGGCGCTGTGCCAATAAGGACACTAGATCCCAAAGGGGTGGATTTGGGGGCGATCCCACATCGATGGGAGGAAGGAAAGAGTGCTAACGAGGACGCTGGGCCCGAAGGGGGGTGGATTGTGATGTCCCACATTAGTTGGAGAGGAGAACAAACCACCATTTATAAGGGTATGGAAACATTTCCCTATCATATGTGTTTTAAAGCCTGGAGGGGAAGTTGAAAATGAAAAGCTTGCAGAGAACAATATCTGGTAGCCGTAATATTTTAGTGGATATATATTTAGATTAGATTTAATGATTTTTTATTTTATTATTATTATTACTTGAATTTGGCTAAAAATTACCATTTTTAAAAACAAAATACAAAAAAATTCTAAAATCATTGGTAATAATTTTCCAAAAATTATTTTGTTAAATTTGTCATTCCCACCAGCGGCATCTTTTCTTCAAAACATCCGCTTCCGGCCGTCCCCGTTTCTTCCTTAGCACCTTCACCGGCATCTCTTCTTCAAAAATTTCCGCTTCCAACCCGCAACGCTTCCGGCCGCCCCTCCTCTCCCTTCCTTCCTTACCTCTCCCTCTTTCTTCTCCGCTCCCTCTGCGTTTTCTCCTCTACTTTTTCCGCTCACTCTTCGCTTCACTCTCAGGTATTCCATATCATCTCTTCACTTCTTTTTTTCTCTCTAATCGTTTGTTTTTTTAGGCTAATTGTTCTTAATATTCCTTGTGAATTGCATCTTTACTTCAATGGATTCTATTAAGGATTTGTTTCGGTGTTGTTCCTTTGGTTTCTGTTTTCTCTTTACTCTTTGCTTCCTTTCGTGGATGACTTGTAATCGTGTTTGAGATGGAGAGAGGATTCGGAACAATCCTCATTTCAGCAGATATCTGTTAGTATCTGTGCTTGCATTTTCGAAATTGTTGTTTATTTGAACCAGAGGAGTTTGGAAACACTCCGTCCTATCTTTTGTAAATGGATAAATTATATTTTGCTGCCTTATCCTGAAAACCCTAGTGTTTTTCCTTTTTGGTCTTCTTTTGCTGACCTCTTTGCCATAGACCTCTCTAATCCCTTTCTAATTTAGAGAAGGTTTGTTTGGATTAACTTTTGAAGTGCTTAATACATTTCATTGAAAATCAATCCAAACATGCCTTAGTTTCCATAAGCTCCAGGGCGTATTGATGGGCTACTCCTTTTTTTTTTATTTTGCATGCCATTTGTACGAGATTCGTAAAGGTAGCTTATTTGTTATAATAGTCTCCTGCGCCATGTTTTACCTCACTGCATCTGTTTTTCTGTAAGGCAGACTTGCAGACGTATGTAGTAATGCTTTTGTATGCTGTGTGAACAATTTTTTTTTTTTTTCATTTATTATTTGATATATTCCATGCTAGTTGGCTATGTCAAAGACGATTAAATAAGGAGGCTTATTTTACTATAACTTGAGCCTATCCAGGATATTTTGGATATTAAAATGGCTGCTTCATCATCCCTTCTGACATACTCATTGCAAGAGCATGCGTCCACCGAAACAGCAATAAAACGCTGCAAGGGCTATATGTACGGTAACTTATGTTCATCCTACTCCCGGATTGGGTACTCCAAAACCAAGTTCCTAACAAGTGCCAAGTTTTCACATAACGAGAATTCATCAAACTGGGAACATATTCAGAAATCTCCAATGAGGAATGAAATCCTGTGCCGTGCTGTGGAAATTGAAAATTCACTTTCTCCCTTTGTAAGCAAGAAGTTTGAGCTTGATGATGTGATCGAATCTCAGCAATTTGATAGAGAGATTCTCAATGATATTTTCGATGTTGCACATGATATGGAAAAGATTGAAAAAAGTTCATCTAAAAGCCAAATGCTCAAGGGATATTTGATGGCTACCCTGTTCTATGAGCCCTCAACTAGAACTAGGCTTTCATTTGAATCTGCCATGAAAAGGTTAGGTGGGGAGGTGTTGACAACTGAAAATGCGCGGGAGTTTTCTTCAGCAGCCAAAGGAGAGACTCTCGAAGGTGATTGAATTGTTTCACCTCCTTTTCTTCACCTTCCTACGGTAGTTTACTTGTAATTTATATGCACTTGATTGCAGATACCATCAGAACTGTTGAGGGCTACTCAGATATAATTGTAATGCGGCATTTTGAAAGTGGTGCTGCTAAGAAAGCTGCCGCAACTGCTGGCATTCCTATTATTAATGCTGGTGATGGTCCTGGACAACATCCCACTCAGGTTTTGTCAGCTCCTTTTTTAGTCTTGTAATATAATGGTTGTATGAATACGTAACATATAAGTGTAAATGATAAGGAAGTGTTATAAGCATGCTTGTTGGTGACGGAGTACAGCATGAATGGTAGAAATTTGAAATGAGTATGTTCATTCGAAAGATTATTGATGTCCAAAATTTTCACCGAGTTTCGTCCTCACAAGAAAAGTTGATATTGACAAATTACTAATTATATACCACTTTTCTGCTTCCATTAAGCAATATAAATAGTAAGTGCCATAGTACTTGCAAAATTATTAAAGAATCGACTCAATTGTTACAAATATTTTCTTAAAGAAACGAATCAACTAAGGGTTATTGTTATTAACAGCCACTAAATAAATATGACTTTATCTCCTATCATCTGTATTTGCTTGATTTGCTGAATTTTGTATAAGAGTTCAAACAAGTGTTTGAATGTTGATCTTTCATTGCGTTTGATTCCAATGAGAACCACTGATTACCATGAATATATGATAAAAGAATGAGGTACTTGATTCATTTTGAGGGTCATATAAAAAAAACATCAGAAAAGGAAGTATGGATTCAGACTCCATAGCTTCTTTTGCTAAGTTTTGCAAGAACTTGAAAATAATGCTGTTCGTAATATTCTGCTATGACGGATATCTGCATCTATTTTGTTTTTGTTTTTGCTTTTGTTTTTTTTTTAACCCTTGACCTTCTTCTGGCAGGCTCTTCTAGATGTATATACTATTCAGAGAGAGATAGGAAAACTGGATGGAATTAAAGTTGGGCTTGTGGGAGATCTTGCCAATGGTAGAACTGTACGGTCACTTGCATATTTGCTCGCCAAGTATCAAGACGTGAAGATATACTTCGTCTCTCCAGATGTTGTAAAAATGAAGGTAACTTTTGAAGCAAAAATATGACAGTATTGTCTATCGGCTGACATTCTTTGTTGTACCATGATATTGGGAAGCAATATTTAGAGAAATAATTACCGGATAAACTGATTTTGCTTTACTTATTGGTATTTTATGGTAAATCGTTGAAGGAAAATCTGTAGGAAGTAACTAGTGAGGTTAAGATCTTCTAATCGTAGAACTTGTTTGTTCATCTAGGATGATATAAAAGAGTATTTGTCATCACAAGGTGTGAAATGGGAAGAATGTGAGAACTTGATGGAAGTTGCGTCCGAGTGTGATGTGGTATATCAAACTCGTATTCAGCGGGAAAGATTTGGGGAGAGGATTGATCTGTATGAACAAGCTAGAGGCAAGTATATTGTGGATAAGAATGTGTTAAAAGTGATGCAGAGACATGCTGTGGTCATGCACCCCCTCCCTCGGCTCGACGAGGTAACAAAGATGAATAACAAGTATTCTCAAACATTTATTTTCAAACATGTCATTACTACAAGTTATACGTTATTTTGCAGATCACTGTTGATGTAGACGAGGATCCGAGGGCTGCCTACTTCCGACAAGCAAAGAATGGTCTATATATTCGGATGGCGCTCGTGAAACTCTTGCTACTTGGATGGTGAAGAAATGCCACCATTGTAAGTTTCGACATTTTATACATGCTTTTCTAGGATGATTTTGTTTAAACAAATTACTAAGATTATAATGGGGGCGAGTTTTAAGTTTGCTACTAGGCGAATGGCTTGATCCCGCTCGCTAGCAGAGAAATGCGAGTACGATTTGCTGAGTTTTTCAGTTTAAGGATAGTTGAATGATTGCTTAAACTTTAAACCTTAAACCCTAAATCTTAAACTTGGATGATCTTGAACTTTTGTCAGGGTGTGTCTCTGTTTAGTTGGAGACGGCTGAACTCGAATTTGGTAGCACTGCTTCATATTTCTTACTGGCCATGTCAACCTTGAACTATATGTTATAGAATCCTTTTACCAAGATGGATCTACTCTCTTAGCTTAGAACAAGTTGTATCCAATTTCTTTTAGTTTATGGCTTTCTATTTAAAACCCATTTGATTTTTTCTTTTATCTTTTAATTTTTTGAACTTGTTTAGGAATTTATTCAATTTTTTTTTCTTTTTTAGATTTTAAAAACTTTTTCAAACCTTTTTAATTTTTTTTTTTTTTTATTAATTTTGTTATTTTAGAATTTCTTTCCTAGTTGTAGCTTTATTTTTAACATATATATGTCATACTAATTTTTTCTGAATATTTTAATATATTGTTTTACTTTTTTTCTCAAGAATAATAAGTAATTTGAGTGAAAATTTTGAACTAAAAAAAATATTGTGTACTTTTGATTTTCTTTTTTCAATAAATTATACGTAAATAATATTTTGTTTGATACAAATAAGTACTAATTTAATACAAATTGAAGTGTATGGACTAATATTTTAGGTTATATTCTAAATATAGGTAGTTTAAACACAAATATTGAGATCAAGTACTCAATAAATTTCTGAACTAAATTTGTAAGTTTTTTAATATAACTTTTTTTCTAAACTTATATTCTAAAAATTTATTGTAATGGTTTGACTTTTATATAAGTATGTAAAATATGTAAATCGGAAGGGACATTTGAAATTGAATTTAATAAACAGCTCAAAATAACATCATCTTTAAAAAGTTAATAACTCAGACAAAATAATTAATGCAAAACAAGGATAGTAAAATGAATGGAGTGAGAGTTTACGTTCAGAGTGAACAATATCATAATACTATAGAGATTTGTTGTACTAGAGTCGTACCTTTAACTTAGTCATGTTAATAAAACAAAGGTCATATTTCTAGACTTACCAATCTAGGTGTGCAATTAGTCTATCCTTACTTAATCACCGAAGGTACACATGTGAGTCAATCAACCCTAACATGTAGAGCTAGGTATTCATAGTCATAGATAACCTATACAAGGTTTGAAGGCAACAATAATTGACACCAAAAGTACACTTAAATGTGTTCATACTTAAGTTTAATGGATACTATACTTTCTTGCCTTGGGACATTTCAAAATTCACTTCCGTGTATCCATCCTTAATTTTTATTTCACAAGTATTTTTTTTTTCTTGAGATATTTTGGGGATGAAAAATCAGTTTTTATTTATTTATTTAAAATAATTAATTAATTAACTTATTTTATTTTATTTGGTAAGTATTGTTACATTCATGAAGAAAAAAATAAAACGAAAAGAAATTAGAAACCACAAACAAAACAGTTGAGCGGGAAACATGCAAACACAAGCAAATAATGGATAAGATTTGTAAAATACGCCAAAAAAAATAATACCGAAGTGATTATGTTGTGTGTATAAATAGGCCAAAAGCTTTGCTCTGTTTTCCACAGCAACAACTCTGTAATCAGTTTTAGTATCATTTTAGGATGATTTAGCAGCAGCTGGGTGAGGATGAGAAGCCATGAACAGGTTCAAGAAGTCCGAAATTGTTCTACTTTTGGGCCTCACCGCGCTTCTTCTAATCACTCCTCTTCTTTCCTCATCCCTTAGACCCACATATCTCTACTTCATCTTCAACCTCCTCATCCTTGGCCTTCTCTCCTCTGCCTTCCCGAATAATGGTCACAGCCCCAACACCCCTTCCCCTGACACCTCCGCCAAGAACCACAGGGCTTTGGAGAACCCCCATTCCGACAACATTCCCCCTCCCAATCCCAAAATGGAATCTCTGAACAAGTGTCCCTCTGCTTCCACCATTTTCTTCATCGGAGACGGCGACAGTGAGGAGGCGGAAGAGGAAGCTTCTGGCGGCGGCGGCGGCGGAAATGGGCAAGAGTTGTTTGCCCAAGCTGAGACCTTTATTGCGAATTTCTATAAGCAGTTGGAGATGCAGAAAGAGGAGTCTTGGAAGAATAAAACTAAAATTGAAGGGTTTGTATATTGAATTGTGTTTCTATTTTACTTTTGAATTAACTCGTGTTACCAAAATCACTTCTATTTTAGTGCATTTACAGTGTTTGGGGATAAATCATTTAACATAATAACTTAGCATATGGATGAAATGAATATGAGTAAAGATGCATATTTTTGGGTTGACATGCTTTCAATTATCACGTAGGATTGTCTTTTCTGAGCTAAAAACGCATCTAGTAGGAAGAGATTTCCACATTCTTATAAACAATATTTTGTTCCTCTCTCCAATCGATGTGGGACTCCACAATCCACCTTCTTTCGGGGCCAGCATCCTTGCTGACACATCGTTTGGTATCTACCTCCCTTTTAGAGCTCAACGTCCTCGCTACCACACTGCCCGGTGTCTAGCTCTGATACCATTTGTACCAGTTCAAGCTCACCGTAGTAGATATTGTCCTCTTTAGGCTTTAGGCTTTAGGGTTTCCCCTCAAAGTGTTAAAAACGCGTCTACTAGGCAGAGATTTCTACATCCTTATAAAGAATGTTTTCGTTCAGTGTTCTCGTTCGCACTCGTTTCTCTCTCCAATCGATGTGCGACTCTCCAATCCACCTTCCTTTGTGACGCGTTTTAAGACATCAAGGGAAAATCCAAAGGACAAATTTCAAAGAAAACAATATTTACTAGCGATGAACTACTATTAACGAAATCAGTTAAAATATGATATATCAACAAACTTGATATAGGCAAAGATTAGGAAAAGCATGTGATGAACTAGAAGCTGATAATCTTAAAATGAAGTAGAAGAGCATCTCACGAGATTTCTTGGGGTCTTACATCTGAGAGAGGCAGCAACTTTTGAAAAGCACTTTAAGGAAAGGTGAAAAGACTTTAAGATATTCTCCCTTCAAACAAAAGGACATGCATATCAACAACACTTGATAGTGATATAAGGAAATTGGAAACTCACAAAATTTAAGCAAACCTGACATGCTACATGCCTGCCCTTCTAACCCATACCTACCTTAACATAAATATTAACTCCAAGTTTTTGCATTATTTGTTGTTGCTAACTAAGAATCTCTCTTCTTTTCAAACAACAAAGGGATCTTAAACAAAAAAAAGTAGCAAAAAGGAGGGCACCTCTTCTATAACTCAAGAATATACGAGGGACCAAATACATTTTTTCTTTTTATCTCGTGAGAATTCCTATAAGAAACAAATATCTAGTAGAGCTATAGGCAACATGTAAATTGTCTCTTCAAACTGAAGCCGAATATAAAATAGAATTCATGCTATAAAGACTTCAAGGTGAACGATGATATTTTACCCCTGCATGTTGTTTCAAGATGACAACAAATAAAGTTGCATTGAATGAACTCAATTGCAACTTATACTTTATCAGACAAGTCAAGTTTCATTTATGAACATAGTACCAACATATTCAAGTGGAGCTTCAATTGCTTTGAGATGGGTTGCAAATTTTAGGCTGGTTGGTTAGAATGTTCAATCTCATGTTAGAGAGGTTTTATTGTATTTTTGGATTTTAAAATAGTATTTTTTTCAATTTTATTTTATAATTTAGATAGTGATCATGAATTTTCAATTAATAGTAAGTGGTTCACGATTTATTTTGAAAGCTATAAATGACCATTCATATGGTTCCCTTTTTTGAAGATTTTAGATATTAAAATAGAGGTAACATTTTAAAGTTTAATTAAATGATCGAGAAGCGGAAATTTTCGCGTATGACTGAGATACTCGAGCAAGAATAAGGTAGTTAAAGTAAGTGGTTTCAATGCTCCAACAAGGTCTTTTGGAAAAGGTTTGCAAAGGAAATATTAAGAATAAATGACAAAATGTCATTTTTGTAATTTTAAGTATATTTCTCAGATTTTTATTTTAAGTAAATAAAGTGACCGCAAGGGATATTTTCGTCTTTTACTAATCATGTCTTGAAGTCTTAGTGGGCTTAGGGCTTGTGTGACTCTTTTTTTGGTACTTGTCCTTGGGAGTGTTTTCCTAGTCTCATAGATTCTTGGATTCTTGTTCCAAAGGTTACTCTTAAGGCATGACTATGACATAAGTCCTAACCCGAAGTCGTGAACATGTGAACTTGTCATAATAGTTTGCTTAAGTCTTTATAGAGATCATAATATGTTTCGGTGGTAAATTGTCATAAGTTTTGATTTGATTTGGTTATTTGGATTAGATTTGATTGGTTATTTGGATTAGATTTGATTGAGTTATTTGGATTAAATTTGATTTGGTTATTTGAATAAGATTTAGTCCTATCGGAGATTTGATTATGTAATGGTATATAATAGCTAATAGCTAATTTTATTCGGGAATAGAATGAGAGATTTCTCCCTCCATTCCTAACTAGTGGTATCGGTATTTGGGGGAGTTTTGTGTGTCACATTGTATTTCTTGAGTGACATAATGGTGAGAGTTTTTGTAGTGTGATAGTGAGGTATTCACTTAAAGCGCTTTGTTTGATTAGTGATTGGTCGCTACCCGTGGATGTAGGGGAACTTTCTCTTCGAACCACGTAAATATCTTGGTGTCTCCTTGTGTAATTCTGTTCATTGGTGTTGTGAGTACATTTGTTCCGCTTTCGGCGCACAACAAGTGGTATCAGAGCCAGATTGTGGTATTTGAGGTATTGTGAAAGTTTTGGCCTCATCGACCACTAGATGTGCTCACAATCATGCTTATTTCCTTGAAAATGGTAGAATCATCTAGAATTAAATCACGACGTGGATCGAGGTTTTTGAGTTCTAATCTCGAAGTAGAGAAATTTGATGGAACCAATAATTTTGGTGTTTGGCTAGGCGAAGTTAACGATTTGCTGGTCATGCAAGATCTTGATGCTTCTCTCCAAGAGGTGATGCTTGAAGACATGATAGAAGTAGAATGGACGAAATTAAATCGGCAAGCTTGTGAAATTATTCGATCCTGTATTGGCAAGGATCCATTTATGAAGGTAACCATGGCGAAAGAACTATGGGACAAGCTTGAGGCGAAATATACGCAAAAGAGTGTGGAAAATAAACTCTATTTGAATAAGAAACTCTTCCGTTTTGACTACAAGAAAGGTATATCAATGGTTGAGCATTTGGATGATTTTAACAAAATCATCACTGATTTGCTTAATCTTGATGTTAAGATTGATGACGAAGACAAGACGTTGTTATTAAATTCTTTGTCGGAGTCCTACGAGTTTTTAGTAACCACACTACTGCATGGAGTCTATGATATTGATTTTGAAGATGCTTCAAATGCCTTGATGAAGAATGAGGTGCGAAAGAAGGAAAAGGAGGCATATCAAGATTCTAGCTCAAATGTTCTCACGGCTCGTGGAAGGACTTCTAATTGGAAAAAAAGCGAACATGGAAAGTCCCAATCAAAGTCGAGAGGTAGATTTGATCATTGGAGAAAACTTCATAGAAATGAGTGTGCATATTGTCGACAGAAAGGCCATTGGAAGAAAGATTGACCGATCTTAAAAGAGAAGGGGTCAAAGTCCAATGTGGTTAGAGATGACGACACTGATACAGATAATGCCTTGACGAACTCCTTATCAGTCAGCCAAACCAGTGAATAGATTCTTGATTCTGGGTGCTCCTATCATATGTGTTCCAACAGAGAGATGTTTTTGGACTTCAAAGAGTTCAATGGTGAGTTGTCTATATGGGCAATGATAGTACTTGCAAGATGACGGGAATTGGCTCAGTACAAATCAAGATGTTTGACGGGGTTATACGAAAACTCAATGATGTGAGGTATGTCCCTGACTTGAAGAAAAATTTGATTTCCCTTGGCGTTTTGGATGCGAGTGGTTATCATATCATTTTGAAAGGAGGGAATTTGAAAGTAGCTCGTGGAGCTTTGGTGGCAATTAAAGGAACTAGAAGAGGTAGCATATACTACCTCAACATAACCACAATAATTGGACATGCTGCTGTGGCAAGTTTGAAAGAACAAGACATATCGAAATTAAGGCACATGAGACATGGGCATGCTGGTGAGAAGGCGCTTCAGACATTGGTGAACCAATGAGTTCTTAAAGGGTGCCACAACTGGTAAAATTGATTTATGTGAACATTGTATATTTGGTAAACAAAAAAAAATGTGAAGTTTGGTACCGTTATACCCCAAACAAAGGACATTTTGGATTATGTTCACACTGATGTATGGGGTCCCACGAAGAATGTCTCATTGGGAGGAGAGAGGTGGTTTGTCACCTCTATTGATGACTACCCGAGAAGAGTCTGGATGTATCCCATGAGGCACAAAAACGAGGTTCTTCAAATCTTTCGAGTGGAAAAAAATGGTAGAGAATAAGACGGACAAGAAAATAAAAAAGCTGAGATTAGACAATGGTGAAGAATATACTTATGATCCATTCCTTAAAATATGTCGAGATGAAGGGATTGTTCGACACTTCACTGTTTCTGATAAGCCACAACAAAATGGAGTTGCTGAGAGAATAAACCGAACATTAATAGAGAAGGTTCGATGCATATTGTCTTAAGCAGGATTAAGCAAGGCTTTTTGGGCTGAGGCTCTCAGTTATGCAGTTCACTTGGTGAATCGTTTACCTGTTTCTGGAAATGGTGGGAAAACTTCGCTTGAGGTATAGTCAGATACTCCTATTAGTGATTATGATAAATTACATGTGTTTGGGTGTCCTACTTATTATCATGTGACATTATGATAAATTGCACGTGTTTGGGTGTCCTATGAAGGCCGAGAAGTCTACTACCCGGCATAGCTTGCCAATCCCGTTCTAGTAAAGAAGGAGGAGGGTGGAGGATGTGTGTGGGCTGAATAGAAAGATATTCTTGCGGATCTTTCTTTGGTCGCGAAAAACAACCCCAATTGTTAGACTCAGAGAGAGGTTTAGGTTCCAGAGTTCAGACTCAGACAGAGGTTCAGGATTATGATAAATTGCATGTGTTTGGGTGTCTGCTTATTATCATGTGACATATCATGTGACAGACTCAAAGCTGTATCTAGAGTAAAAAATGCGGGCTATAGGTTATAGTGTCCAGAAACAAGTAAGATTGTTAATAGTCGAGGTGTGACATTTGATGAGTCTAGAATGTTTTTGCAGAAAATTGAAAATAATGACGAAGCATTGAAGCAGGTGGAGAAGGTGGTATTCTCTCCTGATATGGTTGCTCCTACTGAATAACCTATTGATCACGTATAATAACTCTGACGTCTTAGAACAAGAGCAAGCCTTGAGGAGCAAAGCCCTGTAAATAAGGAGGAATCTGAGTCCATCGCCAAGAATAGACCACGAAGGGAAATTCGAAAACCTGCAAGGTTTGATGATACGATAGCATATGTTTTCTCTATGATTGATGGAGTTCCCAACGGTTACAAAGATGCTCTTCAGAGCTTGGATAGCTTACACTATCAAGAGAATATAAATCCGCAAATAAATTTAAGAAGCCGAATAGCTTACACTGGCAAGAGAATATGAATCCACAAATATCAACGGGGAGATCTAACTAAATGAGTTATCAACAAACCAAATCAGCTATCAGAGATCTTGTGACGGTGGAGATTGGTTATAGATTTTCATAATTATTGAGATTTAATGCATGTTATTTGGATTAGATTTAATTTGGTTATTTGAATGAGATTTATCATTTGATTATGTAAGCTATATAATAGCTAATTTTATTCCGAATAGAATGAGAGAGATTGATTCTGTAATGCTATATAATAGCAATTTTATTCGGAATAGAATGAGAGATTTTGTAATGCTATATAATACGAAATAGAATGAGAGATTCTGTAATGCACGGGAATAGAATGAGTGATTTTGTAATGCTATATAATAGTATATAATAACTAATAGCTAATTTTATTCGAGAATAGAATGAGAGATTTCATTTCACCGGTGACAAGGGGGAGATTGTGGTAAATTATCATAAATTTTGATTTGATTTGGTTATTTGAATTAGATTTGATTGGGTTTGTGGTAAATTGTCATAAGTTTTGATTTGATTTGGTTATTTGGATTAGATTTGATTGGGTTATTTGAATTAGATTTAGTATTTATTAGTCATATTCGAGATTTGATTATGTAATGTTATATAATAGTAAGTACGGGAATAAAATGAGAGATTGGAATAGAATGAGAGATTTCTCCCTCATTCCTAACTAGTGGTATTGGGGATTTGGGAGAGTTTTGTCACATTGTATTTCTTGAGTGACATTTTGGTGAGAGTTTTTGTACTGTGACAGTGAGGTATTCATTTGAAACGCTTTGTTTGATTAGTGATTAGTTGCTACTGTGGATGTAGGGGGACTTCTTCTCTTCAAACCACGTAAATATCTTGGTGTCTCCCTGTATAATTTCGTTCATTGGTGTCTTGGTGTCTCCATGTATATAATTCATTCATTGGTGTTCCACTTTCGACGCACAACAGTTTCTTGAGGATCTCAAGCCAATCATGGATCCTTATTTGGAACTTGCATAACCATAATATCATAAATGAGAGTTCCTATACTGAAAATTTGCTTAGAGATTACATGTGAAATGAAAATTTGATTAGAGAGATTACCGGTGTTCTTGAATTAAATAAACTAAGTAGTGGCACAATCAAAATTGACACGAAAATTTCACTTTAAATTGCTACAAAATTTAAATTATAAAGATTAAATCAAAAGGTTTACAAAGTTAATTTCAATAATTAAGCATGCAAGCCAAATAAATAGAAAGATTCATATTACATACTAAAGTTTATGATTAAATTGTTACACAAAATTTAAAATATAAGAACTAATTTTAAGTTACATTACTACAACTAAAGTTCACAAATTAAATTATAATGGTAACCTTACAAGTTTAGGGGCTAAAACGGTTTTTTAACCCCAACAAAAAGGGTGAACAAGCGTATGAAAAGAAGATATAAGAATTCAGAGAAAAGCTCGACTAACCAATCTGGGAAGAACAAACAAACAAATAAATAAAAATCTTTCAGCATCAATGGAAGATCAATGAGGTGTGTTGACGATATACATGAGAAAGACAAGTGATGTAAAATTAATTTAAAAATTCAAAAGAACTTGAAACAAAATCTAAACTTCAAACAGGAAGGGTCCACAGATCATATGCATATGATTGGATTCAAAATTCAAAGTTGATGGTTAAAAATCAAAAGTTGCAAACTGTTAACAAATTAATCTTTTAAATCATGGAAGGCCCATGTACTCTGTAAAACTAATTCATCTTCCAAATTTGATACTATAAATTACGACCATCCATCTACACTAATATCCCTATTCTAAAATAACATGTACCTAGCAGACCCGATATCAATCGGTTTACACTGCATCATGACAACCTAAACTGGTCGGCTTGAATTTTACATTTCGATGAATGAATACTGAATTTAATACAAGTTTTTGCTCAGAAAGGCAACTAGACTATGGATTCACAAGATATCTACCTGTATAAATAAGTATAAAATAAAGAAAAAAAAAAGATGAAAAGGAATTTTTCCTAACTGATCCAATAGTTGGACATGAAATATGCTAGATTCTGTCCAATTGAATAAATAAAGCATTAGAGATACCCTTTCTCCTGTAAAGCACGAATCATCATAGAGGCCGCAGAGTTCTCTGAATCCTTTACTCTTGACTTCTCATCTCCCACCATATACAGCATCCCAGAAGAAGTGGAAATTTTAACGGAGCAAGTAAATCTCTTATCATGTGAAGGTCCAAAATCCTTCTCAGTACTGCAGGTGAAAAAAAACCCATATAGTATTTAGTGCTACAACATATCCGAAAAAGGAGGATGAGGAAGGGAAAAAAGATGGTCACAGAACTATATGGTAAGTGACTGATCTCTCTGTTAGCTCTGTTTTTATTTATTACCCACAAATCGGACTCAGAGATAATACAAACAACAATCCAAAACTGTCATTCACATCAAACTCACAACAGGTCTTTAGCTTTAATCATACAATTTAATACATCTAATTGGTCACTATAATGTGTTAGATGCTCTAATACCATGTTAGTTGAACACGGGACTCTCCACAATGGTATGATATTGTCCACTTTGAGCATAAGCTATCATGGCTTTGCTTTGGGATTCCCCAAAAGGCCTCATGTTAATGTACATTCCCTAAATTAGCATGTGTGGGACTTTCATCCAACATAATGCACCGGGGAGATTCAATAGAATGTGAGACAAATATTTTAAACAAATCAGTGTATAGATGTAATAACAAATCAGCAAATGAGCAATGACCACTAAAAAGAATGTTAAAATTTGAGAAGAAATAAAATTTCCATGTACAGAGAGAATGAAAGTAGTTTGACGAAGATATTAAGATACGAAGATTTAAAAAAATTGCATTTCATCATAAACTACTTGAGAACTCAATAAGCAAGTATTTAACTTGGAGTGCAGGCTTGTAAATGTAAAATCTACAATTACAAAAGATAAACTGCCTCCTAATTCAGAGTCTGAGTAATGGAAGTTATGCAACATCTAAAATATTATACCTGTAATTCGGTTTTGGCCACTTTTTCTTGCAACAAAAATCATGTAATTTCTGCTTTGCCCCTTCAATTTCAAAAGATTCATCAATACCGTCAATAGTTACAGCCGTTCGAATATTGATATCCATAGTTTTGGACAATTTGGCGAGAGCTTCTCTGGCAGCATTTAGTCTTGCAATTTCTTTATGTGTTGAAGAACCCGATGCAACAAAAGTACCATCAACAAAGACACTAGAAACAGTCTTGGAACCGTTACTCCAATTCTTGATGTCAACTTGCTTCCCATTTTTTTGGCAAACTTCAAAGAGAACAGTCACAGGTTGGGGTTCTACCTCTAGATCCTCAGGAGTATAGATGGGCTCTAGCAAACCCCTAATTATCTACAAAAGATCAAAAACAAAAACTAATCGGTGCTCGACTAGTAATGAAATAGAAATTATACTTCAAAAATATACCCATGAACCTACCACCCACAGTCTTTGAAGATCAAAATTAACGTCTACATAGATAGCACCAGCCACAGATTCTACAATGTCAGCAAGAACTTTAGGAGCCTTCATTAACCCACCATACGGAACTGAGTTGTTTTCTAGGGCGACAGAATCGACGAACTCTCTAACCTATACAATTAAAAAAAAAAAAACCTAAATAGAGTTAAATCAGGGAAAAATCAAAGGCTGCTAGTCACAAACAAAAAGGAAAGAAACAAAGACCGAAGGTGAAATCGAAAACCTTATCATCGAGAGCGACAGCCTTGCGCCGAACATAGTGATACAAGCCATGGCGGACTGCAACGCGAGCAAGCTTCTCGGTGCTTATGTTAGCAGCCCTAAGTAAAGAGAGTTGGCCCTGCTGGAGGTCGGGATACGCAAGGAAAAAGTAATTGGTAAAAGCGAGGCCAATAGCAGAGTCGCCGATGAACTCAAGGCGCTGATAGGAGGCAGATTCAACGTAGGAGGAGTGAGTGAGGGCTTCCTCTAAAAGCTTCTTGTTCTTGAAATTATAGGAAACAATGAGTTCAACCGCTAACACGGAGGACTCCATCTTCCTGCGGCGAAGAGCAATAAGTCAGACCTTAGACTCCGAAGGCGGCGGCGGCGGTGGGGGCGAATGGAGAGTGGAGAGCCCGATTCCGACGTTCACGTTTCTGAGGGACTGAGACCACCGATTGGAGAATGGGGGGCATGAAGTATTGAGGCCCTTGCTTTTATTTTAATTTTATAAACTAATAAATTAACTTTACTAATTTGTTAATACGAGTGTTATTTAATAGCCAACAACAGATTTTTCTCAACAAAAAATCAAATAGAGAGAGAAAAACATTCACTCTGATTTGAGTGGAATATATTGTCACAACTATTGGTGGCTTCAAGTGTAGAGATAGCTTGACGGGCTTTATTGCCCAAATGGAAGAATGCTTCGAGAGCTTAGACAATGCCCAACAAACAATCGTTAGATGGTCTCATATTTGTTTGAAGATTTGAGAGCATCCCTTGGAGTGGTCTGAAGTGGCTGATCTAAGAGCCATATTAAATCTCAACATGAGAGCGAGGTGGGGTAGGGAACCAAACTCCAAATGAGGGTGTAGTACAATTTCATAAGATAAAGGTCTTGGAGCCCAAGCTCTTCTGTGGGGTTCGAGATGTCAAGACTCTAGAGAACTTTATCTTTGACCTCAAATAGTACTTTCGAGCCACAAATACCCTGGTAGAAGAAGTGAAGGTCACGTTGGCAATAATGCATCTAGCCGACAATTCAAAGTTGTGATGGAGGTCCAAGTACATGGACATTCAAGATGGTCAATGTACTTTGGACACTTTGGATAACTTGAAAAAGAAATCCGCTCTCAGTTCTTTCCATAAAATGTTAAGATAATTGCAATACGGAATGAAGTATACGGGTAGATCCGAGACTATATTAAGCAGTTTTCTAGGCTTATGTTAAATATTTGTGATATGTAGGTCTTCAGTTTTGTTGAGGGGTTGAAGCTGTGGGCAAAAACAAAGCTCTAACAACAAAGAGTTCAAGACCTTTCCAGAGTCTATGCTATCGTTGAATGAATGTTTGATCTCAGTATCAATCAACGCAAGAGATAGGGTGGAACTAAGAGTCTGCAAGTGATGGAAATAAGAATTACCGACCCAACTCCCCCAAAGGTGGGGGAAGTGACAGACTTGAAGACAAGTAAGAGGAATGCGAGTCCTCCCAACTGAGAGGTAAGACTCCATGACAGAAACCTCATAGCCTAAAAGTCATAGTCAAATCAGAGGCCCCTCGTCTTGCTTCATATACAAAGGGGCCCATCAAACATCAGAATGCCAAAAAAAGGTGTCATTATATGCCTTCCAAACAAAACTAGGAGCGAATTCAGAAGTTGAGTATGAGACGGTAGAAGTAGAAATAACGTCAATAGAAAATGTTGAGCACCCTCACGTGGGGAAGTAAAGTACTTGTCTGCTCTTTAGAAGAGAGTGGAAGAGATAGAAGAGCCAATGAAACATGGTCTTATGTATATCAAGGCCTAGGATAATCATAGAGTGGCCAAAAACACTATTGTCGACTTTGGAGCCACCCACAACTTCGTGACATAGACCGAAACAAAATGCTTGAATATCCTTTAGCATCGAGATACAGGAAAGATGTAACACTTAAATAAATAAAAAAGAGGTCAGAATCCATAGGAGCAAATAAGTCCTTTTGCCCCTCAAGCCATTGTAGGTTTCAAGGAGAACCCTATCAGAATACATGAAAAAAGAAAAAAGATCGAGAGAGAAAAGTTGAGAGAAGAAAGGAGCCACCAGATATCTCATAAAAAAACCATCGTCAAAGTTATTTCGGCCAAGACTTATACGCAACGACTTCTCCTTGAAAGGAAATGGAGGTTTCGAGAGGTCGGGTTCCTATTTTCCATCAAGAAAATTGAGAAGATTCGTGAGGTAAGATCTTGAGCGTTTTCCCTCATATTTGAGCCTATGTTCATCTTAGGGGAATCCTCTATAGGATTCGTGAAGAAACCTAGCCGAAATTCTGGTCTGACGATAGAGTTCCGAAAGTTCTTCCAAGAATGTTAGGGAAGTGAAGGAACCTACTTTGAACCATCATAATTTAGTGTGGGATGATGTGCAAAATTCAAGAAAAATATCATGATGAAGTTTGTATTACAATCTACAACTTTGCTGAAGAAATCAATCGAATTCTAGATTAAAAGATATGAAAATGAGAAAAGTAGGAAAAACTAATCAAATTCGGGTTTTCGTGTGACAGGAGGAAAGAGAAATGACTCCGGCGAGCCACGTGTCAACCAGCGAGAGAAGAAATGCATTGGACAAGTGAGGGATTTGTGATGAAGCTTGCATGGAGCAATGTGTCATGTGCGGTGTGGAGTAATGGTGACACGCGACCTTTGCAACCCTATTCGACCCGCGATCCGTCAATCGACTTGATCTGATTTGCAACCCATTGAACTGGCTGACCCGTTGTCCAACCTGAATTGTTAACCCGACCCAAACCGAAATGCTAACTCGTGACTGCAGAAAATGCCCCGCGCATGGTGACACAATCGCACTTTTAAAGGCAGCGGACTAGCGATTGTGCGGCACTCACTTTCCAACGACAAGTGAGCTAAGCCAATTTGTTCTTGCGTCGCCTACGGCCAAGCGACGTATGATCGAGCCTCTAGCCTCGGTTTTGAAAGAAGGTTTTTGAAAACGAGGATAGAGAGAGATTTTAGAAAGAGAGATTTTTGAAAGAGATGTTATATAAGCAAGCAAGAGAGAGATAACAACGACTTAGCATATATAACCTTGGGTAGAGAGAAGTTGACAACTAGTCATATCCCCCTATAGTACATTCTGAGGCATTTCATGTCTGGTAGGCCTAGACATGATATTTTTGAGGCGTCATACGCCCTAGAACTACAAAAGTAAAAACACTAGAATGAAAAGACATGACAAAGGTTTGGCTTGCCATAGGCATGCAGCCATGGGCAACACGCCCTGGACGAGCATGACCGTGACATCCTCCCCCACTTAATTGGTTGACGACCCCGTCAACCGACTACTTTCAAACCTAGCGATGTGGGTGGCGGCGGAGTTCAAATCTTCGGCGCGTTCCCAGTTGGTTTCCTCTGTAGGAAGATTCTTCCATTTGACAAGGAATTCACGAATCGTCCGTACAGGTTTTCCTATCTTCCTAACCCTGTCGGCGAGGATCTCCTCTACTTCTTTTGTTTCTTTTTGCCTCAGATCGATGCTCGATCTTGTGATTGCATTTCGTTGGTCGTCGTCTGGGTCAGGGTGGTATAGCTTCAAGTTACTCACATGAATTACTGGGTGGATTTTCATCCATGTGGGGAATGCAACTCGGTAGGAGGTAGTCCCGATCTTTTTAAGGACTTCAACCGGGCCTTCATATTTTCGAACTAGTCTCTGGTCCTTTTGGCTGCGAAATCTGATCTGTTCTGGTTTCAGCTTGATGAGGACTTGATCTCCTGCTCGGAATTGAAGGGGGCGACGCTTCTTGTCTGCCCACTTTTTCATATGCTTGGAAGCCTTCTCTAAATATGCCCGGGCTATATCTGTTGTCTGCTTCCATTCTCTTGTGAAGTTGTGAGCTTGAGGGTTTTTTTCTGCATAAGGATGATCAATAATATGGGGTAAGGCCGGTTGTCGTCCACTTACAATTTCAAAGGGACTCTTTCCCGTAGACGAGCTGGTTTGACAATTGAAGCAAAATTGAGCGACATCTAACAGTTGTATCCAGTTCTTCTGGCGAGCGTCGACGAAGTGACGTAAGTATTCTTCGAGCAAGAAATTGAACCGTTCTGTCTGACCATCGGTTTGGGGGTGGTAACTCGAGGAGATGTTTAAGGTTGTTCTCAAGAAAGCGAATAACTCGGTCCAGAATGTCCCAATGAATCTGCCATCTCGATCACTGATGATGCTCGACGGAATACCCCATAACTTTACAATGTGTTTGAAAAATAGTTGAGTTGTGAGTTCGGCCGAGCATAATTTAGGAGTGGGGATGAACGTCGCATATTTTGAGAATCGATCTACGATAACCAAGATAGCGTCATATTCCCTGACTTTTGGGAGGTGTGTTATGAAGTCCAGAGATACACTTTCCCAGGGTCTTGTCGGCACAGGTAGAGGTTCTAAGAGTCCTGAGACTTTGGCTTTCTCGACTTTGTCCTGTTGACAAATGAGGCACGTCTTGGTGTATTGCATGATGTCGTCTCGCATGTTTGGCCAGAAGTACCCCTTTTTTATTAGAGCATATGTTCTGTTTCCTTTTGTCATCAGAAGGTCTCCCTCAACCCAAAACTGTCGTGTTTTCCCAGCTTTAGCTAGTTCGACGACGGCTTTGGCCGATGGGTCTTTATGTAAATGTTCCTTGATGATGTCGCGCATCGATCCATCGATCTTACTTGAGTGAATATGGGCTAACATGCATAGGACCGCATGTTCGCCCTTTCGACTCAGTGCGTCGGCTGCTTGATTACTCTTCCCTGCTTTGTGTTCGAACTTGAAGTCGAATTCAGCCAACGACTCCTGCCACCGGGCTTGTTTTGCCGTCAATTTTTGTTGATCAAAGAAGTGGCAAATGGCGCTGTTATCCGTCTTCACTATGAACTATGATCCCAAGAGATATTGCCTCCAGACTCGAAGGCAATGGACTACTGCCAGCATTTCTTTTTCAGAGACAGTGTATCTACGTTCGGCGTCATTGAGCTTTCGACTTTCGAAAGCGATGGGGTGGCCTTCCTGAATAAGGACCCCACCTAGGGCAAAGTCGGAAGCGTCTGTTTCTATTTCAAATGGCTTTGTAACATCTACCAATCCGAGGACAGGATCCCTCATCATACCCCTCATCATGGTTGTTTTCAGATCTTCAAAGGCCATTTGACAATCATTTGACCACGACCAAGTGTGGTCTTTCTTCAACAGCTCTATCAATGGGGCGGCTCGTCGTGAAAACCCTTCGACGAACCGCCTATAGTAGTTGGCTAATCCTAAGAAGGACCGCAAATCGGATACGGAAGTAGGAACCTTCCATTCTTGGATAGCTTTTATCTTATCGCTATCCATACTAATCTGTCCACATTTGACGACATGTCCAAGGAAGTTGATGCATGTTTGTGCGAATGCACATTTCTCTTTCTTGACATACAGTTGGTTTTGTCGTAGCTTGTCGAA